GTAATGGACGTTTTCCTGATGCATGGAAGGAGCTGGTGCACGGAGAGGCTCCCAGGAACCCTGGGATGGATCAATCCATCATCCATGTGATGGGAAAAGAGCTGCTTGCTCCAGCATCTTCCTTGGCCATAGATAAATTCATGTGTATCTTTATGGGTGTAAGCATAGAAAAAAGGTGTAGGTGTGTGTATATATTGTAGTCAAAGCACGGTATGAATTCAGATCTGCCAAAATAAAGCCTTGTTCAATCAATTCATTAGGTGTTAATAACCCCTTGTTAGTGAAACATTGCTGCCAGAGCTCAAACTGAATTTCAGAGCTGAAGCCTTTTGCTAATCCATGATAATTTCCTTTTATCAGCGCCTTTTAATCTAAAGAAAAGCCTTTTTCTAATTAAAATACTAACTCATCTATAAATTATGTGACAATGAAATGGTGTCAGAGAAAATGCAATAGAATTAGGGAGCTCAATGGGCTGAAGGAGAACTCGGTGCTACTAGAAATAAAATGATTATTCAGAGAGAATAAGCACATCCTGATTTTATTTAGGGTTGGTTTGATGTGGCAGTGGATGCTTGGCATTGATCACAAACAGCACTGAATTGATCCCAGCGCTCCAAGCAGATGTTCAAAAGGATAAACCATCAGCAGATCCCTGGATTTGAAGTGTTTTCCATGTTGGAGGGGCCACAGAGCTCTCCAAACTGCTCATCCAGCCTTGGAAAAGGAGCCTCAGCAGCCACTGGTGTGGGGTGTGAAGGTTTGAGGGATGGGGCTGATGGTTTGTGTTTGCCAGGTGGAAACAGAACTTTCCAAATAATCTCTGGTTTTAAGGAGACTCTTCAAAAGCCAGGCTGCTGCCATTGCAGCTGGTATGGAAACACTTTCCCCAGTGTTAGTTTAGTACAGAATCCCAGGATGGTTTGGGTTGGAAGGAATATTAAGGATCATCCATTCCCACCCCCTGCCATGGGCAGGGACACCTTCCACCAGCCCAGGTTGCTCCAAGCCCCGTCCAACCTGGCCTTGGACACTTGCAGGGATCCAGGGGCAGCCACAGCTTCTCTGGGCAACCTGGGCCAGGGCCTCCCCACCTCCCAGGGAGAAATCCTTGTCCCCTCTGGAAGACACAAGACCTGCTGCAGAAAGTGCCATAAACGAGCAGCTGATTAAACTTTCTGACTTCCAGCCCCGCTAATTGTGTTGCATTATGTGCTTAATTCCTGCCCTGGAATTAGCATCGCTTTCCTTGCTCGGGAAGAGTCGCTGGCAGAGTGAAATGAGAATTTTATTTGCACTGGCAGAAGGATTTTTTCAGTTCTGCTCCGCTGGCTCCGCCACTGATGGGGATTAATCTCGCTAAGAACCGCGGAACTCGCCCCGAAAATGGGCAGTAATGGTTTGAAATAACTTCTCAGGCACTGAAATCCGAGTTCCTGCACTGGTACCACGAGTCAGTTCCTATCTGATGCCAGCCTGGTGTTTGTCACCGAGCTCCTGGGCACAGGAGGGGTCCCTGGGTGGACACAGAGCCCGGGCTGTGCCCATCAGCTCCTGGGCTGTCGTTGGTGACGGGTGGTGGCACCCCAGGGACGAGGTTGGGACTTCAGGCTCCGTGGAATCCATACGTTTTTCTGAGTTAAAGGCTCATTTTGCAGTTCTGGAAAGGCAGCGACTGCCACCTTCCCTTAATCCCTGACATTTTTATAACTGGCTGTTGCACAGACCCTTTTTTCCCCATTATGTTTTTGGAAGACATAATGTTCTCTGCTCAAAAACCTGCAGTTGTGTAACAGGAAAGGGCTATTTTGATGCTGTTTAAGGCCTGGAGTTGGTTTGTTCCATACAGGAAAATCCTGCAGGAATAAGAGGCCGAAGGGACTGAGCAGGTACAGAGCACTTCAAATGATTGTTTCATGCTCTTGTTGGTTTTTCTAGTTTGTGCCAAATGCTCGTCCCATGACTTTGATGGTGAGACTGGCCTGTGCTCACAGGAGGGTGTTCAGGACCAAGGCAAACAGTTGGGCCTAAAAAGTCACTTTTTTATAAAGAGATCAATTAACATTTGGCTGAAGAGTGTCAAAGCAGATTTCTGAGTTCGTGGCGTTTCCATTTGTTGTTTATTCCAGGAGAAGACTAAATTCCCCAAATCTGAATCTGTCAGGATAATCTTCACTTGGACATGAGTCAGGGGGGCTTAATTCTTGCATGTGAAAATCCTCCTTTCCTGTAATCAGGTTACATATGACTTAGGAGGAGTTTTTGTCTTTTACAGGTTCAGGATATTTGAAGTAACAGAGACTTTTTGCTCTGTGGCTTTTCCCAACCTGCAGCTGCACAGAGAGGATTGAATTGACTTTTAAAGCAAACTGTTGTGTGTGAGTCATATTTACAAGGTGTGTCTTGGCTGGTGGAAACATGTTTTTAAGGCTCAACTCATGCTTTTTAGGGAATAAAACCATAAAATAGGTGCAAGGCCAGGTTGGACAGGGCTTGGAGCACCCTGGTCTAGTGGAAGGTGTGGGGGGTGGAACTGGGTGGTCTTTAAGGTCCTCCCAACCCAACCCATTCTCTGAAACCCAGTAAAATGATGTGTGTGCCTGAACTTGCAGTGCAGTGAGGATCCACCTCGTGGGTGATACGAAGTTCTTTGTTGCCCTCAAAGCTCCATCAGCTTGTTGAATCCACGAGCTGCTCACTTGTGCTGTCATCAGCCAGTGCTCTGGGGAAGGCAGGAATTGATGGGGTGAGGGGCTCCTCAGGGAGGAGGAAAGGAGATCCAGAGGAGATGCAGAAATAAAACCCACACTGAGATGGGACACTGACTGATCCCTTCAGGGGGGAGCCAACCTGTTCAGTGCTGGATCTGTCAAAGGGTGCAGGTCCTGCACTTTCTGGACTTGTGTGTAGTGGTACCATCCCCCTCTCTTTGTTTATTAAAATTCTTCTTCCTCTGTTTTTGCAGTAAACTGTAGTGCAGAGCCTTCTGGTGACAATCCCATCACAGTCATTGGCATCTGTAGAACTGTGAGAACTCTGTTAGTTCTGTGTTTCAGAGCACAGCCACGTGGGCATGGGATGATGTGTGGTCCTGGGGTCAGCCAGGAATGATAAAGAAAGGAAAGATGGGCTATTTCTAATATATGTTATAAAAATGACTGTTACTGGGGGGGGGGGGGGGGGGTGGTAAAACATTTGAAACAACCATATTTATTAAAATTGCAATTACAAATGAAATATTACAGGATTGGCCACTGCAGGGTTATTATTCTAAACAATTTTCAGGCTGTGGGAACGATCTTGATATTTAAGTGTTTTCATTGCATCAGGATCTGGCACAAGTCCTTACTGGGAATGATTTTTCACTGATCCAGGCCGGTTTGCAGCTGGTGGGGTGTTGTGTGTGCACAGGTGGGATTTTTGGGGGGAGGTTTGTACAGAAGTTGGCATCGGGTTGTTTGTGTGAAGGGGCTGCACATCCAGTGGGATGGGGGCAGGAGGGGGCTCCAGGCTGCCCTTATCTCCCTGGGTCTCCCCCATTCCTCCTGCCTGGCACAGCTCCTGTTCCACCAGCCCTGAGGGGCTCCCAGGGAACGTGCTGGAAATCCCTCACCCTCATCCAGGGTTTCCTTGTGCACAGTGGCACCTGTTTGCCCTCTCCAGGTCTCCTGGGATGGATCAGGAGGGGGAAGGAAGAGAGTCAGAGGGGTTTTTAGCACCTCTTTCAGTGCAGAGATGGGAGGGTTGGTTCCTTGCCTTCATTCTGCTCCACAGGGACTCTGCTGGAAAACCACACCCCGACCTTTACCTCTGTTTTCCACACCCCTTGTTTAAAGATTCCTGGGATGGTGGATGTACAGCTCAGTTAGAGGCTGGTTGTGTGTTGTCTGTCTGGTTCCCCACCCTGGACCTGCTCAGCCTTTCCCTAAAAAACCCAGATTTATCGCTGCCTCTGAGGTCATTCCCTGCCCCGTTGAGCTTTTATTGCAGGAGATGCACAAGAACAACCCCCCATCTTTAGTTTCAGAGCCCAAATTTAATTTGTGGGACAGGGAACTATAAATATAATTTATGTAAATGGAGGGGCAGGAGGTGCTGACCCCCGGAACTGCTGCTGAGTGGTTTTTCAAATCAGCCTTTCACTGTAATGGGCACGAGAGTTTAACTTGGAAATGCAATACAATAATCTCTGCATAGAACTTATTCTCTGGTTCTCTTTCTCTGATCTGGCAGGAGCGTGTTTAAAGACTTTTACTAAACCACTTCTATTTTAGTTAATTTTATTCCAAACAAATGTTGTGCAGAACTTCATGTCTTTTAGAGTTCAGGCTGTTAAAACATGTGGAAAATCCCATTTTTCTAGTACTAGTGGTCAGCACTGCTTTGTGACAGACCCTCTTTACCTTTTCCCTGTTCTTTATTAAGTCTCTTGATCTCCTCTAGATTTGCAAGCATAAAAGTGGACTGCTTGTTTTTGGCTTGGGCACCATTAGCTTTGCTCTGCTCTTTTGTGTTGAACACCGAACCTGTTTGCTCCAACACTGAGAATCTTTTGAAATTGAAATTTTACGTCAGAGGAAACAATTACTGAACACAGCATTTGTGTGTCCAGTTCAGATATTTAGAGTTAAGTATCTTAAACCCTGATGGGCTCTGTGTACCTCTCTGTGATCTTTGCTTTTCCACAGCTGCTCGTTTGCTTCCTATAAAAAAACAAATTAATAAAGTAGGAGAAAAGGAAGTGTTTTAGAGTATCAGGAATGTGCCTCGGTGCTCACACACTTTCAAGTCAGCCTGTGCAGATTGAAAGTTTAACCAAGAGCCATCTCCTTTGTAAAGAATGCAGATAATTTTTTTTTTTTCCTGGCAAAAAAAAAGAAAAAAAAAAGAGTAACCTGATATGAGTCTGACAGTGTCGTTTAGTTAAGTGCTTCCATCTGTTGCTTGCTATTTCCCTTACTCATGACCTCTCTTTCTCTCTCCCCCTCCTTCTCCTTCAGCCCCTTTGAGGAAAGCAAAGTTTGTGGAGAGCCCTCGAATCCCAGAGTCTGAGCTTGGCTCCCCAACCCTCTCTGCAGCCCAGAAGCTGGACGTTGATGCTTTCTGCCCTGGTAAGCCCCTTGCGAAGGCTCTGCGGGAGCAGGGAGAACAGGCAATTCCAGCCACAAGGATTTTTAAAATATCACTTTGCCCAGGTGGTTGGTTGGACCTCCCCCAGCCCCAGTTTCACTGGCTCGGAAACTTGACTAAGGAATAATTTGGAATTGTTGCCCATTTTACGTTTGTTTCCCTCAGTCCTGCGTGTGGCCGCTCTACACCCCTGGAATAATTTAGAGAGGATAAAAACGAGCCAGTGAATGCACTGCTTTAAATTTAATTTTTAATGCTGCTCTGCAGAGAGGCTGCAATAAAACCACATTTCAGAAATATCATTAAATCAGCTAAAAAGCCAAAACCGTGGGACCTTGTAACCTGCAGCCAGGAATATCGAGGGGGGGTGAGGGTGGTTGTTTTTTTTTTTTTTTTTTTTACTATTATTTTATTTTTAAAGAAACACTGTTTGATTTATGCATCCTGTAGTAGTTGCTCGGAAAAGTATTCATCTTGCTCGAGGCCTCTGGTTGAAACATAAATAGAAGTGGGTCATGTCCCTTCCTGGCTTGACCCCGTTCTCAGCCGTGGGCTCCGAAATCCCCCCTGAGCCCAGGCAGAGCCAGCAGATGTGTGAGTGAGTGCCTGGAATCCCGGCCTCATTTCCCAGATTTCTTCCTAACTTGGAAGTTGGGCAACCTGGGGAGGGCTGGAAAGCAGCAGCAGCAGCAAGTGTTTGGGTGGGTTTTGTGGTGAATCCTGCACTTCCCTGCCCTGGCTTCCCCTCCTTGTGAGCCGAGGGGATCCGTGCTCGCTGCAGGCTTTGGATGTGTTGAAATGGTGTGTAAATGTGGGACGTGTGCCTCTGGAATCTGCAGCTACAGTAGCCAAGGTCATGCTAATGAATGGCTCTGTGGAATCAGGGGGTTTGCTTCCGTGGCTGGTGAACTCGTGGAAGAGCTTCTGGAGCACCCAAAATTGGAGGGATTAATTGAATGGTGTCCAAATTTTGAATGTGGGCTTGCTTTAATGTATTGTGTCTGAAAGAGGAGTTGTCTTAGGAAATAAAAAGATAGTCTCTGTGCTTGGCAGTGCCTCCTTTGAGGCCACAGTTGCCTTGAAAAGTGCTGCTCCTTTTTCAATCACCGTGAATTACAATTAAAATTGTGCTGTTGCAGCCCTTTTTTTCCTGACTGAATGGCTTCCTCTCTCATGTTTATAATTGTTAATAATTATAAACTTATTATGATTGCATCCACAGAGAATTAGAATGGAATTGTAAGTTTGGCTTGAAAAGCATCAGTTCCACATTCCCGTGCCTGCACGTGTGTCTGTCTCCCTCTGCCCCAGCTTTGAAGGGCAGGACTCCTGCCAAGCCCAGGGCTGGGCTCTGGCAGTGGGATCTGCAATTCCTTTAATGTCTTTTTTTTGCTGTTTGATTTCCTCTTGCTGATAGTGGAGTGATCTGAAAGGAAAAGTGGAGTCTTGTACTGCCTGGAAGTGTCTTTAAAGGAACATGAAGGAAGGGGGAAAAGTGACAGCAGGGGGGTTGTCACAGCGGAGTCAGGGAACCATTTATCTTGGAAAAGACCTTTAAAATCATCAAGTCCCACCATAAACCCAACTGTGCCAAGGGCACCACTAAACCACGTCCCCAAGTGCCTTGTTGGTGTACTTGGAATAGGGAGGAGTCTGTTGGGGAAGGATTTCTGAAGCTGTTCATGGAAGGAAGGTGCCTGGGTCTATGGAAGGTGCGTGGGTCTGTGGAAGGTGCCTGGATCTATGGAAGGTGCCTGGGTCTGTGGAAGGTGCCTGGATTGATGGATCCTGCTGGGAAGGTGACAGTAATGTGAGAGCTGGAGGTTTTGCTGGGCTGGAAGGCTGGATTGAAGGAGCTCAGGAGATGAGCCCTTGGAAGGAAGCAGGTGGCTGGAGGGGGATCCTTGTGTAAAGAAGAAAAGAAAGAACAGAGATATGGACAACTTGTAGGGACCAAAGGACTTTGAGTCTGGGTGTAGGGTCCAGCTCCTGATGGGAAGGTGGAGGAAGAGGGGCTGAGTCCTACCCTGGACCATGGCAAAGCTTCAGGCACTGCCTGCAGTCAGTTTTCCAGGGAAATACAGCTCCTTTCTTCAGTGTTAGGCTTAGTCTAACCCTCTTCTAAAACGTGTGTGTCCTGTGAAGGATTAATTAGCACACAGGGCTAAATCCTGAGCATCTCCAGGAATGATGGTGTGAGCTGAAAGAAGGAAGAAAATCAGGCTGAAGGTCTGCCTGGCAATGGAGTGGAGGTGGAGTGGTTTGTAACGTGATCCCTGACAAGAAATGTAATTAATTATATGCTTAAAGGCAGTTTAAAACCCTAACTAGCAAAGAAAAGAGAACATTATCTGCTCTGCACCCAGGAATGACGGTTTCAATTGGAGATGCCGAGAGGTGAAGTTTTTGCTCAGTCCCAAAATGTTTATTTTAAGGCTTCAGGCAAATTTCAGCACATTCCAGGGAGGTGGTTTCCTGAGCAACCACGGTGCCACCAGTGGCCTCTCGTGCTCCTGGGGGGAGGATTGGTTGTGACATCTCCAGGGTGAGTCAGTGTGTGTGGGGTGACGCGCTCCCGACGTTCCAACTTCGAGGAAAAAGAAAGAACATCAAGGTGCTGAGTGTCTTTTGAGGGAAGTTTTAATAGCGAGGATGTGGTTAAAGTTTTAAGCTTGGTATAATCTTTTTTTTTTTTTTTAAATTACATTTGTTGTTTAGGGGAAGGAGTGTAGGTGGCTAAAAATTAATTAAATCTTTTCAGGTGAAAGCAGAAATTGGCCCACATTTTATAGTTGTTGCATGTCACATGATGGCAAAAAAGCCGTTTCACGGCTTTGAGAAACCCATTTGTACCAGAATTATATTTCTGTGACTGTTCTTGTGATTGCAGTGCTTGTTCAGAGTTCAATCCAGCACTTTCTGCCTTGGAGTGTCAGCGGAGGAGAAGGAATTGGTTCCTTGTTTCTACCCTGGGAGGGTGGGGAGGCCCTGGCCCAGGTTGCCCAGAGAAGCTGTGGCTGCCCCTGGATCCCTGGAAGTGTCCAAGGCCAGGTTGGACGGGGCTTGGAGCAACCTGGGCTGGTGGAAGGTGTCCCTGCCCATGGCAGGGGGTGGCACTGGATGTTCTTTAAGGTCCCTTCCAACCCAAACCCCTCTTGACTCAGTGACTTAACAGAGACTTTATTGAGAGGATCTGGAAGGTTTCTGATCCTCCCTCCTTGTCTCTCCTGATCCTGCAGACACTGCTCAGCAGAGGTCTTTGTGTTTTCCTTCCTGTCAGCCTTCCAAAGGCAGTGGGACCCTTGGGATGACACCCCCACAGCCATCACTGCTCTTCAAGGGGGGAGAAGGTGGAAGAGTAGCAGTTGTAGACCTTCAGCCCTCCATTGTTCAACTTTTAAACCTCCTCTGCAGTGGTTCTGGTGACTCAGTGTAGTGTGTAGGTTTTTCCCCCACTTCACCACCCCCACTCCCTTAGTTGTGGTCACGAGGGCATCTTCCTTTGAGCTGCTTTTTGTTACTCATGGTGGCTAAAACATGTTTTGACTTCTAAGTGCTCAGGAAACCTCTTGGCAGTGGTCAGAGATGGATGGTGCTTTCAGGTAACGGCCCTTTGCCTCGGATTAATGTTTGCAGTTGCATTTTGTGTGATTTATTACCTTGGCGCCGTGTTCCAAAGGCTAAGTGTGTTATGACATTATCTTTTAATTTCATTAACTCCTCCTTCAGAAATTTTGGGACACAAATGTTGAGTGTCTGGTCAGGGGCTGTTTGCTTGTTCCACGTTAGGTTGGCAGGCATCTGTTTCCAGCCCTGATTGAGTTAGGAACCACGGACAGGGAGGGGTGATTTACCATCTCAGCAGCACTTGTGTTCATCTCATCACTCCTTTTTTCTCTTCCTTTGGTTGAAGGATCGTTGAGGTTGCTGTCTGCTTGCTGCTACTGCTTTCTTATCACCATGTAAAATGTGTATTTCTCGTTTTACACGATCCACACACTCCCCCTGAATGCAATAAAACATCTCTCAGGTGTTGCAAAAAGCTCTTTCAGAGGGAATGCAGGAACCAGCATTGTACTCTGATGTTTCCTGGTGAAAGTACAGGCAGTGAGGCAAAAATAGCCACAGAATTTCAGCCAGCAGGATCCTGCTCCAGCCTCTGTGCTACTGCACAGCGATGGGCTGGGGGAAGGAAGAGGGAACAGTCAAACCAGCCGTGGTCTGATAAAGGGTTTTACTGTTGAATCTTGTGGTTGTCCCAGCATTACCAAGCCCACTGACCTGAAGGGAATGGGAAATCGTTGTGATCAGCCCTCGTTGCAGGAGAGCAGTAATTTGGCACATCGGTTGCCATGGCAGCGATTGACTTCTCTCCAGCCGCTCTTGGGACGTTGCTGGTTCCTTCTGCCATATCAAGGGATGGAAACAGCTTCAGAATGAACTCCTGGATTGACAAAACAAGCCCCACCCTGGTCTGAAATTCTGGTTCTGAAAGAGGAATGCTGAAGGCATTGGTAGAATTCCAGGTGTGAATCCATTTGGGATTGGCCACAGACCACCTACTGTCAGGTATCATCGAGTCTGGAGAATAGTGACTGGGTTCAGAGTTTAGGGTTTATTGAATCTTCTTGTCAAAGGGGAGATGCTCAAGAGAAGAAGTGAAAATAATATGAATCCCACAGATTATTGCCATGTGTTCTAACTGTTAAATATTTGGAGATGTCATGGTATTCTTGAAGCTTCCTGATGTGGTCTGTGAACGACCAACTTCCCTTACAACCCAGGGTTTGGGTTCATCTCCCTGGGAGAAAAATAAAAAAGGGAAAAGGCTCTTAAATGATCCAAATTCCATTAATGTGAAGAACTTCAAAGTGTCGTGACTGCTGCCAAAGGTGTCACCTGGATGGTGTGTTGCACATCAGGTACTTCAGCGACAGAAGTTCCTGCAGCCTCCACCTCTGGCTGCCCATCCCGATGGATC